AATTTCTGAGGTGAGTGTTTGCAGTGAGAGAAAAGAAAACCAGGCTCAGGCTCTGTGCAATCGAAGAAAATTCTGAAATAATTTGCATCGACAGATGCAAAGTAACGGAAAAACGTGGATTATATGCATAAACTCTGTGTGCATTTCACTTCTAAATATTCCTTGATTTTTGTCAGCAATGTTATGCAAAAATATTTAAATGAGCAGATTATAAAAGAGCAGTGCTGCCCGTGTAACATCGACACGGAATCGATCGGGGACGGGCATTAGCGGAGAATTGCTGGTCATCCCAAGGAAAACGGATTTTTGCTTGCCAGCTGTTTGATATTTCGGGAGGTTAAATGGCTCCTGCTGCCAACCCGAGCGTGAGTGCGGAGAGCCGCAAGTGCTGATCTCTCGCACGGACCCCGAGCTGAGCTCACCGGCCCCGAGCGCACGGGGACGGGGATCGGGACCGGCGGTCGCGGGGGCTCCGCCGCTTGCTCGGTTCCATCGCTCGGTTCCATCGCTCGGTTCCATCGCTCGGTGCCGCCGCTGGCCCCGTTCCCCGCTCCGGGTCCCGCCGCTGCCCGGCACCCACCGGAGGGGTAAGCCCCGGAGTGACCGGCGGGCCAGGGCAGGCGCGGAGAGCTGCAGTCCCTGCCCGGTGTTCAAATACGGTAAAACGGAATTCATTAGGTGCTTATTTAGAGAAACGAAAAATCCTACTCTGTTTATACACGGAGCGAACTCCGGTGCCTGTATGAATTGTCGCCCGCCGCCAGCGCGGGTTGTGCCGACACCTTCCACCCCTGCCCGAATCCCCGAGACAGCGGGGATGTCACCTGCGCACCGAGGGGATGTACCGAGCAGCGCTGCGCCCGCCGCCCGGGGCGGCTGCGGGAGAGCCCGGCGGTGCCGCCGGGACCCAGCGGGGATCTGCTCCTGCGGCGGGGCCGAGATTCCAACCACTGGGCTCTGAGCTGTCAGAATGCCTTTGCAAAAAAAAACCCCAATTACAGTAACTATAAAACTTGGTTTTGAGAAAAAAATGTTTTTCTTTTCACAGGATCCTGCAGAAAATAAAAACAAAAGATTTTTTTCCCCCTCCAGTATAAAATTGAGCAAAAATAGTATATCTGCTCAGCTACCATAAATAAACTGCATCCAAAAAACAAAATAAAAGCTTTCTTGTAATTTGTGTGCTGTTCTTTGATTTAAAAAAGAGCTGAGGATTCTCTGACCTTGATACCGGGTAGCTGCCTGGTGCCACACCACAGCTGGCATGTTTGACAGCAGCTTTTACAGGCTTTACTTTCTCTTGATATGAAGAAATTAAGTGGGCAGCTCGGGAAATTTAGGCATGTGATTATCTAATTTTTTTAAAGGCTCAAATTTTTTTCAAGGGTTCTTTCAAAAAACCCCCAGTATGCTGCACCGGGACAATTTCAACTATTTCCCCTAATATCCCATTATGTAAAATCTAATTGACAGGGTGTTGCAAAGTAGTTGTGTATTTTCAGTAATCAAAAGTACCAAAGAGCTGCTAGGCCTCCAGTGCACGGTACATTTAATACAATAATTTTAAAACCTTGAGACTGAATTTCATACAATTGTATGTTGTTAAGTGTGCGGACTCGGGCAATTTCAGGTCAAGCCCTGGCAGGAGTCGAGGATGAGAGCTGAGAAGCTGCCCTGTCCACAGAGGTTTAATCCCATGTGAAAACACTGATTTCAGTGCACTCTGTAGCTTTTACTGTCATGCTCTTGTAAACTGATTTAAGTACTTGAGTTTCAGAGGAAGAAGCTATTTCAAGAAAATACTTGTGTGTATGACATCTATGATTTGCATGTACAGAATTATCCTGGTGAATCAGTCAAGTGACTTGTGTCCAAGTGCCTGGATGTGCTGGGGAGCACAACTGGCTTGGAACCTGCGGAACAACCAGCTGGGAACACTGTGGCTCTGATTTGAGTGGTTTCCTGGTGTGGATGCAAAATGCTATGGATGAGGAAAGACTAGCAGTTGCTGGAGTGAATGAACCCATCTGCCTCCCCTGAAACAACTGAGAAGCACAGGGAATGAAATCGTAATTTTAAAAAATTTAACACAGCAAGAGCAAATATGAAAATTGAGATGAAAATACCTTTTAGGTTAATTAAGTGGCTAAGCACATTTACAAATGGTAAAGATTTGCCAGTTTTAGGAGTCTTGTTGCTTATCAGTGGATTTTCCTTTGGCCATGACCTCCAGAGTCGCCTTTTCAGTGGTGCTGCCTCCCACTGCCTGTGGCTGCTCTGCCCACTGGCTGCCTGCACTCTGCAGCTGCAGATGGCATTTACAGCCCAACAGAATTGCTCAGAGCAGCTGGAAATGAAACACAACTTGGCAAAATTAACCTCAAAAAGAACAGGTGCAACTTGAGTGAGCCTGGGGTGAAGTGTGGTGATCCCCAGTGTACGGGCAGGTAAGGGCAGTGGTGCATGGAGGAGGTGCTGCTGGGGCTGTGCTCCTTCCTGGAGCGGCTGCAGGATGTTGAAACCACCTCAGCATTGCCCTCTGCAATGTTGGATGTGGTGTAAAAAAAAATCAGACAAACCTTGTAAAAACCGTTCTACATTTTAGGCACTGAAGTAACAAAATTCCCTGATCCTTCCCTGACAATCATGAGACTGTTGATTTTTCTTGTTGTAGGGTCTTGTTTTGGATTTTTCGTATGAGGTCCCCAACAGTCTTCAACCATGGGAGATGATGGGAATAAAGTAACAAGATGTCAACAGTCAGGGTAACATTTCTAGCTTTGCCAAAAAATATTCATGAATTTTGTATAATTTTTCAGAGAAATGTGGGATTGTATCACATTTCAGTTTCTGACAAACTGTATTTCTAAGAATGTAAATCCTGTACTGCTATTACACAGTGCAAGCGTTTGGGCCGTTAGTGTGGTGTTTGATTCCACTGAAATAAGAAGAAAAAGGTAACATTAAAAAGGAGCTTCCCAAAAAATTTACTTGCACTGAATGCTCTTTCCTGCCAATACACAACCCTACTCTGCCTTCAAAAGCACACCGAGGTCCTGATTTACACACACCATTAGCATCTGTGATCCCTCTCCCACCTTGCACAAGTGACTGTACCAACTGGGAATTAAACTGCTCTGGATTCGGGAAAGGCCTCCTCTGTCCTAGGAATATGGGTTCTGCAGGCTGGGCTTGAAGCCTGATATTTTTGCATCTCTGCTTTTTCAGTGCTGAATTTTCCCTTCCCATGTGTGATGAGACCTGACAGCACAGCAAGGTCTGTGGGCACTGCTTGTGGTTGGTGCTGGTGCTGTCAGTCCCTTGAGCCACGACCAACAGACCAGAGCCAGACCTTTAGGAAATGTCACATGCAGAGAAGGGTTCAGACTGTTCTGAACAAACTCCTTGAAATCCACAAGCAACAACTGCCTCCTCTGTGCACAGGAGCTGCCTCTCGGGTAGTGAGAAGGGACCTGCCAGAATGGTGGGACCCCTAGCAGTGGGGATGGGGACAGGGAGAGCCTGTGGTTTTGCAGTGCCTGGCTGGGGCAGTAGCCTGGGGAGGCTTCTCTGCACGGAGGCAGTTGTTGCTGTTCGTTGAGAGAAGCCCTGGGGTTTCAGTTCAGCCCACACAGGCAGCAGAGCCTCAGAAAGAGAGAGGAAGGTCTGTAAAACGTGGTGACTGCAAAGGGCTGACACGAGGCCCCATCCCAACATTGCTCCAGCAATGCCTATGGCAGAAGCCATGTCCCCACCTGAGGAGATGCTGTCTCCTGCCCTGCTGTGGGACCCCTGGCTGCTTCCAGCACCTGGCTGCTGCCTCAAAGGTCAAGGGACTTGGGCTTTGCTCACTCACCTCCTGGCCAGCAGCTCTCTGAAATGATCCCCCCCATGTTCAGTCAGAATGGAACCATGGTTAGTTCTCCCAAATGTGCAGGAGGTCTGAGACCAGTGCACACAATGCTGCTTTGGAAGGTTTCTGTTGAATTTCCACCTCACGTATTGGCCGTCTCACAAGCCGATAGTCTTCAGTATTTGTCTCCAGCACCTCTCTCCTTCCCTGAAACCAGCAGCACCGGTGTGCTCTGTGACACGCTGTTTGTGCTGGCAGCCACCCAGCACCTCAGCTGAACGTGGCTGCAAACTTACAGGGACAGAAAGGCACTAGCCTCTCCCCTTCCCACACGCCAGCCACATGCTGAGGTGTTTCAAGCTCCCAGAAGGAGAACATTTGAGCTCAGTCAGCAACACTAACACACAACACAAGAGGCTCCAGTTCCTTTCTTCTGGTGCACCTGTGACTGAAAACAGCCTAGTGGGCCTTTCAGAATCTACCCAATGCCCCAATTACTCTTCCCTGTGGCTGCCATGGAGTATGTTCAGTTTTTACAGTGGAATTAAAATGCCCCCAAGACACAGGCTCATGTAATGGAAACAGTGACATCCCTCTCTGCATGGCCTGGGAGTTCCCGCACAAATAAACCATCTCCTTCAGTCAGGGTCTGGCTCTGCATTGTAAGCTATCCCTCAAATCACAAAAGACAGCTTGGAAGGTTTACAAATTCAGCATTTTTCTGAAAAATACATGAGCATGGAGTGCCTTTGCCAGTGGTACAACAAAGAATGCACACAGTACTGCACTGTTTGTATACAGTTCAGTATACAGTTCCTGTAGTCAGTGGTTCACAGCCCAACCCAGCCCTTGGGGTGACTTTGGCCGGGTGCTGGTTGCACAGCAAAGAGCAGGGAAACAGCAGCTGCCAGTGCAGTGGCCAGGAGGGATCTGGATGCACCTGGCTGAGGCTGGTGCAGAGTAGTACCCAGCTCCTGCTTTTCTGTTCTAACCTCTGCCCCAGGTATGCTCTGCAGGTGACTAACAGATGGCTTTGTGCTGCTGGGAAGGGCCAGCCATGCCTGCAGGGAAAACAACCCATTTTAAGTTTCTCTGCTCTGCAAAAACATGAAAGCTGGAAGTGAAATTCTGCCCCAGAGAACACAGCCAAAGGCTGCAGCAAACCTGTTATTTCTGGGATAACTGGAAGATGGAGTAAAAGCTTGTTAATTCAACAGTACAGTTGAAAAACTGTACAGTTGAAAAACCCCCAAAACACTCTAAGGCTTTGTTGTCTGTGCCCGGTAGCGTTACACCTGCTCATCATTCTGTTAATTACCTTTTTTCTAGTCCATGTCCATGGGAGTGTGACTACTTAGAGCACAAATGTATATAAACCTCTTACAAAGAGCATTACAATCAGTTTGCCATTTCCTTTCAAATGCCTTAGTCTATATCATGATTTCGGCAAACAGATCCAGACTGCTTTCAGTATCATCCTGGGGCTCCAGCTCTCTGCTGGGATCGGCCTGTTCCCGAGGGGTCCGTCTCTTTCTCCTGTGCACATACACAGAGCGGCTCTTCTCCGGCCTCTCAGGAGCCAAGGTGTCTGTAGAAACAGCAGCCTCCAGAGCCAACTCCAAGCCTTTCTGGAATCTAGAAAAAAAATATTTTGTATTTACTATTTTGTAGGCTTCCTTCAAAACTCCTCTGAGAAACTAATGTTTTTGGAACATAATCAAAACATGCAAGGAGAAGAAAGTGGTTTTAGCTAATACTGAAGAAAAATTCAATGTCATGAACATTACATCATTACATGGTGTAATCTTACAAACCTCTCAATCCTCCTTATGTTTTCTTCCATTTTCTGATTGGCTACTTGTACCAGAAATTCAATATATTCTTCAGAGACCAACAATCTCCCCTTGTGGCTCAATGGAACTTCTAAGCAGTGAGTGCTCCGGACAGCCTGAAAAAGCACACAGAATTTATCTGGAACAAAGTTTTTTTACTTTATGAATGTTATTTAAATAATATAGGGAGTTCATTACAGGAAAAAAACTGCTTATCCACACAATTGGTAAGTTTGCTCTCACCTAAAGCGGAAAGCTATTTCTTTGCTACAGCATGCCCTGTGACAGCTGTTTAGCACAAGCCAGATCTCAGCTGGTAAAAAGTCAAGGTTAATGTAATGATATGACTTTGTTACATCCCTTACAGCAGCAGAGTCCTTACCATTGTAATTTTTCCTCCTCTGCCAACCGTAATACCGGAGTTCCTGAATCCAGAATCAACAGCCACTGAATGCTGCAGAACAAACAAGGGTTTGAACAGGTCTTGTACACTTTCACAGCAAAAAATAATTATGGATGGGTTGCAATGCAACTTGCAATCTCAGTTTTGCAAAAAAACTTACTCAAAGCCATCTCCACAGACTGATACAAAAATAGTTAAATTAAAATGTCTTTAAGATCAAGCCCACAGACTATGGGTGGTTTTCAGAGACCCATGGTGGATCGTGATTGTCTGAATCCATCAGTGCAGATGGGACACCATGTGTCTCTGAGCACTGAGCTGCTTTATCCCAGTGAGCTGGAAGCACACATCGCCACACATCCATAGCTGTGAGAGCAGCAGGACTGTACATTGAGCTCATCAGCTCTCCTGTGCTAATGAGGGAACGAGCCTGGCACAGCACACGCTGCTCTTCCATCATGACGGAAAAGCAGAACACAAAGATGCCACTCACTTCATTGAAAACGGAGACAAATGGCCTGGATGGTAGCAAAGTAATGTCTAAAATCCATCCCTTTCAGCTAGTGAGAGAGCCCAGGCTGAGAAATGTTTTATGGGCAGCCCGCTTCAGCTCAAAGGTGAGTAATTTTGCTTTCTGCGTACAGCAAAATCTCCACCAAGTTGAAAGCTGTGTTTTCCTCATCAGCTTACTTTACTATCCTAGTTCTTGAACACATAGCACATCTGTGACTGCTCTTAAGTGTTACAGCTTAACCAGGAGCCAATCCTCTTACTTTTACAGGCAGGAATGTAACAGAACAATGATGTCACATTGTGCTTGATGTGGTTTTACCAGCAGCTGTGCATCCTGCATCTCCCGACACAGCACGTGAAGAACAAATGGTTCAAACTTGAACACAACATCTCCAGTGGCCTTCTCTAGTGCTGTCATCTGGAAAATACACCAAAACATTTATATTAACATTGCAAGTGTATACTATTATTGCCAGGAAAAAAAAAATGCAAAAAAGAAAAAGCTAGTCTGTGAGCAAAACAAGTATCAAAATGAGTCCCAAGCAGTCAGGTTTGATCAGCTGCTTTTAAGTTTTTATTGCTCACAATACAGAGAAACTCCCTGGATTTCCCTAATTCTGTTTGCTAAACTGATCAAGTTTGACAGAAATTCATAGAAAGACAGACATTTAAAATTGTGTTTCATCCTTTTTATTTTTCCTTTGTACATCCAAACATAGAAAACATCAGTCCAGCAAAGGACAATAACTGTTCTGCTGCAATCAGGTGATTAAGCAGGGATTTTTTTTTTTAAACTGTTCTTTAGAATCAAAGACATTTAGTTGCTGAAGTCCATCCCTCAACTTTAGAAAACTTTCTGGGTTTCAGCAGATTAAATCCATGGCCTAACATACTAGACTTTAATTCTTGCTCAAATACCATATGAGAGATGTAAAGAAAAATTTAGAGGTTGAAATTAGAGGCATACACCCACAAGATAAGAGAAAAAAAGAGTAACTTTATAAAATTGAAGAAATCCCCTTCAGACCCCTCAGTTCTGCCAGAAGACAGAGATGCTAGTGGCAGTTTTTCCTGGATCTGTGAGAGTGCAGACAGCTCTCTGACATCCTGCTCAGCTCACAAAGACATTTTTTCTCCTTTTCTGTGCTGTCTTTGTGCAGAGAAACCTAAAGGGTCTTCTAGTCAGAAAAGTCACTTTGAGACACACTGAGCTTAAAAGCATTCTCTTCAAAATGAGTCTAAAGAATTTAATGAGCAACACCCCCAAAGAAAATTTAATTTTGAAAGAGTGGCAATCCATCTCAGCAGCAGGAATAAAACCCCTTTCACGTGACGTGTTTTCCATGACACCATGAGCACTGCAATGAATAAACAAAAAAGCTGTACGCCACTCTGCTCTTACCACATCGCCTTTGGCACACGGGTCGTGTGTTACCAGGAGCCATCTGCAGTTCTTCTTCTGGATCCCGCCGCCGTCCGTGTCCTGATGGACAGAAACCAGGGAATGGGCTCTGCGGGTCGGTGATGTTTGACCCGGCCCTTCCGAACCGGGAGCGGAGACCCGAGCTCTGCCCGCGGAGACCATTCCCAGGGGCACCGCTCGGCCCGGCACCCGCCGGGTTTGTGTGTCCCGGACACCAGCACTCAGCCGGGCACGGGCAACAGCGGGGATCCCCGTCTCGGCATGCCCCGCCATCCCGGTACGCATCCCGGCCCCCATCCCGGTACCCCGGTATCCCGGTACCCATCCCGGTATCCCAGTGTCCCAGTAGCCATCCCGGCCCCCATCCCGGTAGCCATCCTGGTGTCCCGGTCCCCATCCCGGTGTCCTGGTACTCATCCCGGCCCCTATCCCGGTCCATATACCGGCACCCATCCCGGTACCCCAGTGTCCATCCCGGTACCCATCCCGGTATCCCGGTCCCCATCCTAGCCCCCATCCCGGTGGTGTCCCCGTATCCCGGTGTGTGTCCCTGTGTCCCTGTATCCCGGCAGGTATCCCGGTGTGTGTCCCTGTATCCCGGTAGGTGTCCCCGTATGCCGGTGTGTGTCCCTGTATCCCGGTAGGTATCCCGGTGTGTGTCTCACCGCCACCAGGACTCTGCCGTCGCACGAGCTGGCCGTACAGAACCGCTCGCGCGCGTTCAGGAGCCGCGCGAGCCCCGCGGCGCGCGCGTCCAGCGAGCGCTTCCGGCTGGCGTCGGGCCGCGCGAGCCGCTGCGCCTTGCGCCGCGCGAACGCCGCCATCGCGCCGGGGACGGCGGCCCGCGAAGGACAAACCCCCGCGCGCGGCCGAGCACCGGGGCGGGGCGCGGGGTGGCCCCGCCCTCCGCTCTGGCCCACGCTCCGGCGCGGGGGCGGTGGCGCTCCGCAGGTAGGCGGGGGGCGCGGAGCTCCCCGGTGCTGCCCGAGGGGACGAGACGGGGCGGCGGCGGCCCCGCGCTGCCCGTGCTGGGCTCCGCAGCCGCGGCGGCCACGCCCGGACCCCGAGCGGCCACGGCCGTGGCGCTCAGAGGGGCGGAGCCTGACCGCGACAGGCCTCGGGAGGCGGGGCCTGGGGCGAGAGGGGCGTCAGGGGCGGGCCCCGCCAGAGGGGGCATGTCCGGGTGGGAGGGGGCGGGCCTGACAGCGGGGCCGTGTCGGTCCGTGCTGAGGCCGTGGTGCTGCTAGAGACGGGAGGGGACGGGACGGGGCAGCTGCCCCTGTTCCCTGGCTGTGCCCCGCTGGGCACGGCCCTGTGCTGTGCTTCCCGTCCGCCCCATGCCCGGCTCCCGGGAACTGCTCTGAGCGGGAGACCCTGGGCACCTCGGGCACCCCCCGCACCTTCCCCTCCCTCTGGATCGGGTCATTATCACGAGGCCGAGCTGCCCTTCGGCCCCGCGGGCTGTGCCGTGTCCCGGGCGGTGTCCGCAGGGCACGTCCTGGGGGCTCAAGCTCTCCCTGACCTGAGCACGAACCGGGGGTGTTACTGTCGTGTTTTTCCCCAGATCCTCTGGTCGCCATGGCAGCCACCAGCAGAGTGATGAGAGCGGTCAGAGTGTTTGAATTTGGTGGCCCTGAAGTACTTAAACTCCAGTCGGATGTGTTAGTTCCTATTCCAAAAGAAAACCAGGTATCTGTGAGCTCTGTGAAGGGAAATAGCAGTAATGAATGGTAACAGGTGCCTGCAGGACAGAGTGAGGGATGCAACCCAAAACTCTTTTATCTGGAGTAGATGGGGTTTGATCACTGTGTTCATGCTCCCTGGGACATCATGCCTGACAAATGTCGGCTCTTTACTATTCAATGGGCTACATATTCCACATCAAGGGTTTCCTGAAAGTAGCTCTAGTTCCACACTGGGTTGTCGCAGAGGCTGTTTGAGAATTCAGTTAAAATGCCATGATGCTGTGCTGTAAATAAAACAGCTAAATCTTTTTACTTACTGGTTAAGAAGCATCTTTTTTTTGTAGGTATTAATTAAAGTCCATGCCTGCGGGGTAAATCCTGTGGAGACGTATATTCGTTCTGGGACTTATGCCAGGAAACCGGCTTTGCCCTACACCCCAGGCTCGGATGTATCTGGGGTGATCGAGGGTGTTGGGGAACACGTGACTGCGTTCAAGGTATTTACACATTGAGCTTTAATTCACTATTGTTTATTGTATCCTTTTTGGGTGATTGCTGTGCTACTGTAGCAGGTTCTGTTGCTTATAATCATATAATCTCTTCAAGGGGGGAATCCCCTTCACAGACTTGTAAAAACAGGAAATGGGATAGCAATGGCAAGCCATTCTGCAGCTGGGACTGTGAGGAATGCTGCGACCTCTGGGAGCTCAAAGGTCTCAGAAGAGGCACCTGGTATTTGTCTCCTTAAAGTGGTGACATCAGGTGTACATAAGTGGGGTTTCTGCATTGCAGAAGTATTTGAGATTGGATGCTTCCTGCTGGGGATAATAATTTAATGCAGAACTGAAAAATTTTCTGTAAAGTTTTTTTGGAAATGGAAATTGCTTACTTGAAAAGCCCCATTATGTATTTGTTGTTAAAACTGTTCAAATACTGCACTGATCCAGTCTAGTCATTTCACTTGTATTTCTCAGGGGGAAAGTTTTGTGACAGGAGAAGGCAAATATCAGTTTGATAAAAGATATCTATGACATTTATATAGTTTTCAAATCTGTTCAAGTTGACTAAGTTCATTAAGGTTCATATGAATGAGGCAGTAGGTTTGTGTGTTACACTGTAGAGCAGGGTTATAATAATGACACTTAAAATTAAGTATATGGAATTGTATGGTTTGTGTTGCATGGGTGGTATGTATCAGCATTTATAAAAATTTCTATGACAAATATAACTGGTTATTTTTAATAGGAGGGCTGTTAGCAATAGCCTAAACCTCTGTGAATTGCTTCTTAATGCTTATTAAGGAAAAAGAAAGGGAAATGATTAATTTCTCTATGTTCTCTCCCTCTGTTCTAGAAAGGGGACAGGGTTTTCACCCTTGAAACGGTCTCTGGAGGATATGCAGAGTATGCAGTTGCTGCAGCCAACAGAGTCTTTCCTTTGCCAGACAAGCTGGACTTTAGGCAGGGAGCAGCGCTTGGAGTGCCCTACTTCACTGCCTACCGGGCCCTCTTCCAGAAGTAAGGCACCAAATCCAAGTTTGTGCATTTTAATTTTTAATATTTAAAATACAACCCCCCCCCTAAATTCATATTTTTCATTGTCCTGTAAAATGGGAAGATCGATGAGTGGGAAATGTTCGAGACACTTGAACTTGTTACGCTGATGGAATTGTCAGATAATTGTGACCTAGAAGCTGGTGACTGTGTTTTCCTGCATTTCTTCTTGAGAGAACAGACCTGGAAAGGCTTCATATAATAAAACATGTGGCTGCTTTTCAGTACTCACTGGTATTTTAGCCCAGGAAGAAAAGCAGGAATAGTTCTAATTTCCTAATTAAACAGCCAGGTGCTGTGGAGCAGAACCACCGCTTTCCTGGGACAGAGGAAGGTCTCAAGCTGAGGCTCAGTACCAGGCTGTCCCTGGCTGCTGGCTGCCTGTTGCTTCACGTCATCAAACACAGGGTTTATTTTGCCTCCTTGTTCTCCCAAAAAGGCTTATGATACCTGTTTAGCCATAACTTGGAGCATAGTTTGGAACGTTAATTGGAACGTAAATTGGAAATACTGTGTGAATGATGAGATTTGATCAGTATCTGCATTGGTCAGAATCTGCACCCTGGTACTGAGTCGATGTGTACTGCAATCACAACACCAATATTTCCTGTGTTCTTCACCCAGAGGCTGTGCCAAAGCTGGGGAAAGTGTGCTGGTGCATGGTGCCAGTGGCGGGGTAAGTGTTCTGAGGAGGCAGGTGATAGGGAATGCTGCTCTCTGTCCTTGTGTCTGCCTGGGCTATGAGTTACAGTCACATTTAGATCAATAAAGGGATTAGCAAATAAGGTTTTTGTTTCAGATACTCTGGGATACAGTTGCTTAGAGCAAACTCTGTTACTCACAATAACTGTGAGACTGCACAAGCGCAGGTGTGAGATCACCAGTCAGAGGGTCACACACTGAACAAGTGGAAGTTGGTCTGGAAGCTTTGTAGTAGTCAAACTCAGGCAAAACTGATAGCAGAAAGCTGTAATTTTCCTATATGTGCAAGTTGTTTTCAAGTCCTCTGAGAAGGAATCAGCAGTGCAGGGCAACTGTGCATGTCTGGGATGTTTTTACCCATGAGCTGACAGCCAACTGCACAGGGAGAGGCACTGGAATGGATAAAGCTGTGACTGAATACTGTGTGAAATTGCACTTCTCATAGTAATCCGAATTACTAATTACTATAACTATATAACCCCCTTTAAAAAGTTACCAGACCAACTTTTTAAAGGGGGAAGTTCCAAGTTGCTGGTAGAATAATTAATTATTCTCTTTCGTTTTTTTTATCCCCTCAGGTGGGACTAGCAGCATGTCAGATTGCCAGAGCTTGTGGTCTGAAGGTTTTAGGTACAGCAGGAACTGAGGAGGGCATGAGTGTGATCCTGAGAAACGGCGCTCACCAAGCCTTTAACCACAGAGACCCTAATTACATTGAGAGAATTAAGGTAGGCATGATGTCAGGGCTAGAGGATGCAGGTACTAACAAACAAGCAGCTGTTTGCTGAAGTTTATAAAGGGAATTTATCTAGGAGCAATAGTGTACTGCCTTTTTAATTTCTACACAAGATAAAATTTACCCATGTTTGGAAAGCAGAGCTTTCCTCACAGGCAGTGTCATTTGGAACTTATATTCAGCAGATTCCAGTGTGGGAGCAAACCATAAGTCAGCACAACATAATGTGCCACAATTCAGCTCATTAGCTGTCAGATGTAGTACAGAGGCTGCATTGCAAATTTAAACAATAGCCTGTAAAATGGATGTTTCCTGTAGCGTTGAAATAAATGGTGGTACCCAAGCACTAAAATAACATCTATGTCTTGTACAGGAGTGCACAGGGCCAGGGGGAGTGGATATCATCATAGAAATGCTCTCCAATGTCAACCTGGATACTGACTTGCAGCTGCTGGCCCATGCAGGGAGGGTGATGGTGAGTGCTTGTGTCCCTGAGCAGGGAGGTGATGGTGGGTGCTGGAATCATTGCCTTAGTCTGTGCGTTCCACATCATAATCGTACAGCTCTTACTTTGGACTTGTTTGGGCAGGTTGTGGGCTGCAGAGGACGCATCGAGATAAACCCAAGAGACACCATGAGCAAGGAGTCGAGCATAATTGGAGTGAGTCTGTTTCTTGCAACTGAGGTGAGAAACATTTCTGTTTTAAAATATGCTTTGTTGGCTTGTTCCAGCACTCGTCTATTTCAAGTTAAAATCCTTTGTAGGGTTGAAAGCATAATTTCACTGTAACTAACTTGTTAGTTCATTCCTTTATGTTTTGATTCAATCTCAGAACATAATAAAATATTTTTGGGATGTGGAATTTATTTTAACACTTGCATGAATTGTCAATGCAATTCTAAAATGCAAAGACCTTGTTGTAAACGCTGTGTTTGTTACATGCAGGAGGAGAGGCATGAATGTGCCACGGCACTCCTTGATGGCATAGAAGCTGGGTGGCTGAAACCCGTTGTGGGCTCGGAATATACCCTGGAGAAAGTAGCCAAGGCTCACGAAGACATTATTTGTAGCAGTGGTGCCCGAGGAAAGATGGTGCTCCTTCTGTAAAGGAGCACCATCTTTCGTTTATTTTGTAGCTGTTTTAACT